CCATAGCATATCCTAAAGCATGTAAGGATTTTCCATAAAAATTTGTCTTGAACAATTTAATAGTTCTATGCGAACTTTCATCATTTTGGTAAGCAATTGGTGATGTAATAAAAGTTTGATAAGGCTTGCTCTCATCATCACAATTTATCGGTGGTTGAATTGGATATCCTTTGACAACTTGTTGCTGTAATGGACCTTCATTTGATATAGCAACTGCTACTATCGTTTGTGCTTGTGCAGCTGGTGGTGCATTATTTTCAGCTTGTTGATTTTCTTGATTTCGTTCGTGATCATTCACTTTCGCACTTGCCCTTGCAGCATTGCTATTCGTGTTGGACCTCCTGTTCTGCCTTTTGTAGGACTTGTTATAATTTGGATAATTTGATCCATATCCACGATGAAGTGTTACATGATGTTTTCCTGTACATCTCGTATTTTTGTCAACTTTGAATCCACAGCTATTCTTGATATCACAATCCTTTGCTTGGTGACTCGTTGTAAGTAAACAGTTGATGCAAATATTCTTTGACTTTACTGCATTATATTTTGCATCCATCTTCATGTCTCGGTAAGCCTTGCACTCGACCGAGTAATGATTTGTTTTTGAACAAATTTCGCAACGTTTAGGTATTTGCTTTACCTTCTCCAAATCATATCCTAAATATCGAGCTGACTCTTTGTCCTTTATCTCATATTTATAACTGTCGTTATAATTTGTTGATGGATATTTAGGTGCATTATTGGTAGTGGATGTTGTAAAGACTTGATAATTGCTGCCTTTATTCTTCACTTTGTTTTCCTCCGTAGGTTTAAAACTTCCCAACGGTAGCGTTTTCGACAGACTATTTAAGAACTCGAACTGAATATCCAATCTCTCCATTCTTGTTGTTGCGTTTGGTAATTTCTTAAAATAGAAATCATAATACATTTGCTGATGATACGGTTCCAATTGACTATGTATTTTTGATGAAATACTAGAGTCTGTAATTAAAATTCCAGCATAAGAACATGCTGCCATATAACTTGCTATATATGTGGTTACTTCCACACACGAAGAATGCGTGAGTGGCTTTGAAAGTTTTGCATTCATCAACTTTAATTTAGCACTTTCAACTACAATATTGGAATTTCCAAAACTTTCCTTTAATGCCAACATAATCTTTTCCGCTGATAATAATGGGAAAAGTGAATCAATCCTCGCTAATGCCAAGCCTGTCAATGCGTTTCGTATTTGATTTCGCATTTCGTTGCTAGTGAATTCACCTTCTTTCCAATTCCTTTCAACAGCTCGTTGAAAAGTCAGCCATTTTTCTGGACTTCCATCAAACTTCTCTATTTTGGGAAGATTGCGTCTCAATTCACTAATTGTTAATTTGCTGAGATGACGTAATGTATTATCAACCATATTATCTGTTGACTCAGCTTTCTTTACTTCATTTTCATCTGACTTCATTGGTGTGTCAGCATTTTCATCGTTGTTTCCGATCATTAAATTAATAGCTGCTTGCGATTGTTGCAACTCTTCATTGATTCGAGTTGACGTTGCATTTGCAGTCAATATTGCGTCCGTGTAAGAGGTTTCTTGCAAACCTATTAACGGGCTGACTGCAATTGATGACTTTACTTCATGCTTCTCTTCAATTCCATTAATGCTGGACTGATTTGCCAATATTTGAGTCATCAATTTTGTATTTTCCATCAATTGTTGTTGCAGCTTTTTGTTTTCTTCTCGCATTTTGCTAAGTTCTGTCAAGAACTCCTTTGGAATTATATTTCCTTTCTTATCTACGTGAACAGATCCATCAATCTTATTGTCCTCTGTTTCTGATTCAGAACTAGAACTAGTTTCTTTGATGAAGTACTTGATACGTTCATCAAATGATAATAGATGCTTTCCAGAAATTACTAAATTCTGCGCTGCGCTGTTTAACGAGTTGGTTCTGCATGTACTGCATGTCCATGGTAGTTGAGTCTCCGCTATTGATGTGAAATCAGTGCCTGTACATCGCAAGTGATAAATGTTATCACACGAAATGCATAAGACCATTTTCTGAAGAACTTCATCCTTTCGTTCCTCTTCATTTGCTGTAAACCATTCACAACTATTTCCAATTGAGCACCTGACGTCGTCTCTGACTAAATCACATGCAAATACATAATTGTTAATTGACTTGCTGGAAGGATTTTTAATTCGATACGTTTCCTTCGCTTTTGGATCCCTTTTGAAGAATTCAGCTAAACTTCCATGACTTTCAGCACTCATTGTTGTATTCAATCTATTTAATTGTCTTTAGATTACTTGATACTTGCGTTACTTGATAACGACTTGATTACTGCGTTACTTGATAACGACTTGATTACTGCGTTACTTGATAACGACTTGATTACTGCTTTACTTGATAACCACTTGATGATTATTTAGTAATTGAATTATTGTTCCTTGCGAACAATTCAATTTGGCATCCAAAAAATGTGCTTAATTGTATCCAATAAATCCACAAACTTTATCCTTTTGTTGAAGAAACTGATTTGCGTTCTATAACGACTTATGCGCCTAGTTGCTGACGACTTTAAGGTTATTCCTCAAACAATTGATTTGCTTTGCTGGATGTTTACTGGATGTAATGTGTAATGCACACTGGATTGCTTTTAGCAATTCTTGTTGTATATATCTGACTTGCACAGATAAATACTGTATCTGCCTTGCGCAAATAAAATGCTAAATGATGAAAAGAAAGAAAAGAGCAAACTAATTACTTAATGCATCGACTTACTATCGATAACTGGAACTGAAGATTCTCTGCTTTCTGTTTACGACTTCAAATGCGTATGGAGCTTCTTCTCGTTCACTTTAATAATCGTCTGGCTCTCAAAATTCTACTTTCTACAACACTTTTTAACCTCTTTTTAATATGAAAATTTATGAAATTTTGAATTTCCAGTACTTATTCAATTCTAAATTGCACTGTTTGACTATTTATGTCTTTAACTAGCCACTGAGGTTATTTATTTAACACTTATTCGCGCCGAAACTTATTTTCACGTGTGAAAATTAAATGAAAAGATTTTCACGTGTAAAAATTTGTTGAAAAGATTTTCACGTGTAAATTTGTTGAAAAGATGTCGACGAGTGAAAAGTAACGTTCAAATTGTATCTAAAATCCACTTTTCGTTTATTAATATTTCACAATGCGATTACTTGCTAATCGACTTCTTTATTTAATTAATTAGTGATGAAAAAATGATGGGAAAAGATGGGAAAAGATGGTAAAATTTTCAACAAATTTGTCCGAATATGCGACTTCTCCTCGCGACTTATTAATTTGAACTAATTCAAAAATGTTGAACACATTCCGTTCAAAAAAGGAATTTGTACGGTTTTAGTATTTAAATCTCAAAAAACCGTTACAAATAAAGAATAAATTTGACGTGAAGCGTCTCATAAATCAATATGTTTCTTGTAAACATATTGCCCAAATGCTTTCAATTATATACCAAATTAAAGCTTATAACATAACAAATAAAATGATGTAAAATAATACGGTGGCATTATTCGGTATGAAATTATTAAGCTAACAATATAAATGCAATTCATGAATTGTTTTAATGAATTTATAAAATATAGAAACTGTCGTTTGGCTTAACGACAGCAGACAATGTCTGTAATCGCTTCATATAATGCTTTAGAGAAGATTTACACAAGCTAAAATGAATTTTTTAATTAAAAATAAAGGAAAAAAAAATAAATATCTCTAAATTGAAATTTCAAGCACGTACTGAGTACCCACATTAATATTAGTAACCATAAAGACCAAAGAATTGAAAAATTTGTTAAAGAATATTGAAATTAAGCCTAAATGCCTATGAAGTTTTATCTTATTTTCTAAGAAATTGAATTTATGATTCTATACATATTTGGCTTTAAAGTAAAAAGTCTTATGATGATAGCATGTAGGAGTACCACCTCTTGGTTATAAATGCGCAATAGTGACGAATACCTTTGTCAAATGTAGGAGTTTTTTTGGTAGATTTATAATTAAAACTTTAGATGTTTTTCATTATATCATAACCATCAATCTAACCTCAAGTAATTAGCATTTTCTCTCTGGATATTTTATTTTGCGGTATTATTCTATTTTATTGGCATTAATTCAATTAAAGAAACACGCTTATAAAATGTTATAATTGAGTCGCACTATAGGAACCAATAATTGTTTCATTGATATTTAATAAAGCATTAAAATGTAGCTTTGTCTTCTTGAAACGATGTTTCGCCACTCACTCATCCCAAAAATACGCAATAAATAGAAAAGCATCAAAAAGCCTTACTAATATGTCGTAAATTTTTGTTCGATAAAGTATTGGTTACACGTGTGTGGCATCCCAAGAGTCTAATAACTGATTACTAATTTTAAAACCAATAAGTCTTATTCTAGTTTAATGTTTCCAAATATTTAGCCTCGTATGATAAAGCATAGCGAATAAGTTTTTTTTTATAAAACACGAAATCATATTTTAATTTTAAAAATTTTAAAAACACAAATGCATGAATACAAAATTTACCTTGCCACAGATAATTCAAAGCAAGACTCCCGCAGACTATAATCTTTGTATAATCTCATACAAAGATTATAATCTTCAATAAAGATTATAATCTTCGATTTTAAAAGATTATAATCTGCGGGAGCCTTGATTCAAAAAGCCTTTAAAGCACAAAAATATTAATTTTTTAATTTTTTATTTTAGCACATTGCACAAAATTGTCTGTTTGAAAATTAATTAAATGAATAACTTTAACTGAAAATTAAGTTCTACTATAACTGTGCACCATGATATGATGTAAAAAGAAAAGAAAAAAAAATAAGAAGGTGTTAATTGAAAGTTGAAAAAGATAAAGAAACTTTTCATGTGTTCAGTTTTGTCCACTAAGCAATGCATTTAGTTTGTAACACTATAAAAAAATTTGCTTGAATTAAATTTTTCTGCACAAAACCACAGAAATGTTTTATTTTTTAAAGGTAAGTACCTGCACCTAAAGCACTTCTCTAGCACTCTTAATGCTTCTGTTTGTTTATCCTTGTAGTAAATAAATTTATTGCTCTGTTTACATTGAATTTTTATTATTTTTCATTTGAAAGCATTTAATTAGAGCAAAAACTCTTTTAATGCTTCATTTGACTTTATGTAATTTTATTAATAATACCTTATCAAATAAAATAAAAGTTTTTTTTGGTAGTCTTTAAAAATACCTTAAACTTGAAATAGGTAACTAATGAAAATTATTCAACTCATTCTATTTATTAATTTAATAGAGAACACTAGTTGAACTTCTAATTCTTATAATCCTATTCAATGATGAAGTACGGACTAGTTATGGATCAATCGTGAGAACAGAATATAACGGTCCTAATTTACCTTCAAATGGATTTTCTGAACTTAATGCGAAAAGACCATCACCATCGGGTGGGGAAATAATGAAAAGCACATCTTTAAATTTGAATGAACCTAGTTGTGAGGAGTTACGTGCAATGTGGCAATTCTCTCGAAGACAATCGCGAGCATCTGAGATTACAAATGAAATTCCAACATATCACGATCCATTTAATATGAATATATGGGAAACTTATTATCCCACGACAACAAGGAGTTTAGGAGGGTAATTAAATATAAACTTTTAGTTTATTCAGAGATATGAGAATGTTTATTTTAACCTTTTTTTAAATAGACGAAGAGTCAGTCAATCAAGATATCGATCTAATGGTCGTCCTGTATACGGCAGGATTGTACATCACCAACCACCTAACACACAAATATCTGGTGGACGTTACTATGAAGTTCCTACAAATTTAGAACGCTCACGTCTCAATTATGAAGATTTCCTAAACATCAAGCCATACAGTAGTAACGACAATATGGTTTTAGGAAATCAACAGCAGCAGAATGCAAAAAATATGCGAAAGCAACAGAAAGTAAGATTTGGCAACGGAATTACAGGAGGTAATAGTATATCAAGCTCGCCAAACATTGGACAGCATGCAATATTTGGATCAACAGGAATTAATTCTATTGCTCCACAACGTGGTAGCTTTCAGAGATTAAAAGAGCTTGTTTGGACTGAACGAGCACGAGAGTTATCTCAACAAAGAAAGAATGAAGAAATTGCAGCAAGAGCAGCTATTCTTAAAGATATTACCAATGGCCAACAGTAAGTAATCCCTAGATATATAAATAAAATGCTTATTAAGATTATTAAGTAAATGAAATGTAAAGCTTAAAAAAAATCACAACTAACGCTATCTTAAATCCACAGCTATAAAACGCCATTATCATCATCATCATCTTTGCCGCCAACATCTTCACGACGAACTTCTAAAACGGGACATAGCAACAATAAAAATAAACTTCTCAAGGATGACAGTAAAGGAATCAATAATAAGGACGACTCTCAGCAGTATATGCCATATTCTTTATCACCTTATTGGTCAAATGAGAACATCAAACGTTCTTCACAGCTACGATATCAACAGCTGACACCAAATACCGTACTGGATGATAATGGTAATTATCCTGTTGAGAATGACTTTAGAACGATTAAAGATTATTTCAATGATGGAAATGGATTAATTGATAATGACGTAAAATACTTTGAAGACGATAATGGATTAGATTACGATGTAAATGGATTCTTTAATAATATTAATGATGACAATATCAATGACTTCTACTTCTATATTAATCAACTGCTAGGTAAAAAACCAAATCAAAAATCAATTTAAAAGCTTTAAACGTGAATAATTCAACGGCGAAATTTTTGAAAGTATTAAAAAAAAAATTAAATCATATCACAATTATATTTCCGTACAAAATACTATTAATAATGAATTGATTATTTATTCAATAAAAGATATATTATTTTTTGTTGAATAAAACTCATAAAATTTAATCAGTATAAAGTATAAATAAATGAGAACCATATCAGCACATTTTATCAGAATTATCAAACTTTATAATGATACTAAGGAAGAAAAAGAAAAAAAAAACTTTAATCTGGCATGGATAAAAATAATCACGACATATTAACTCACTTTGATGAATATCAAATTGAAAGTATTAAACGTTTACATTTATAAATATATACCTTAATGAATACCATATGACTAATGTCATATTAATTGACATACCCATTTAATTTCTCATTAATTGACTAAAAGTGACAGGATTAGAGATAAATATTAATGTATCACTTTTTTGGGAATATTTTATGTACTTTTTGTATCTACAGAATGAAATGTGAATTCATCATAAATTTGATTCTGACAGAGATATCTCCATATTCATTTAAAGATTCGTTGCTATTATTTTTTTCTATGTGGCTGTATTTGACGTCACAAAATAATTTTCTTTCAACCCTCTTGTTCATAATAATAAAAAAAACTTCGTTCTAACACCTTCATAGAACTCCCATTGAATGATCTTATGTGGGTTTGAACATGAATTTTATGCTTGAATTATTCTTCTTGTGCATAAACTTTTACATTAGGCTCTGTTTTAAATTTTGATTCATTTGATACTCGTGAAGAGAATTGAATGAATTTTCTTTGAAGTATATCCAAAAGTATCTTTTCATTTTAATTATGTCATTCAATCCTCGATCAAATATGTGAGACACAAACAGTTTGCACCTTAAAAACTCAAAGTAAGATATTGAAAACTTACTTTGTTGACTATACGCAAAACTTATCAATTGTGATCTATAAAAGTCACTTAAAATTGTTTAGCGAATGACAGAATAGGTGGACAGATCTTCATTTTAAAAACTCCTAATAGAAAGTACCGACAAGATGTTTAAATAGCAATATCAAATTAATATAAAAAAAAAAAAATAATATTTTTTAAAAGTCTGCACTCCGACAAAATTCCTGACTAAGTCACTGTCGTTAGTCAATTTTTTTACATCGCAATCTTTACTGTGAAATTATATGATGAATGGGAAAAGGTATATATTTATGTGTTTTAAATAAAATAACATATCTTCCACAATTTAACAGAAATGAAAAAATCTGAACTCAATGGAATTTCAATAAAAATGTCACAGATATAGAATGCTGACAGACGAAAACTATAAATTTTATGAAAAAAAAAAGCTTTAACCAATTTTTCTTCATAAAAATAAATTCCCGCAAGAGAAAAAAAATCAATAAGACAATATTTAGCTATGAAAATTAAAGTGACAATAATTCCATGTGAATAAAAATAATACATTCTTACTTATACAAATCATTTATTACTTATCAAATAAGATTTAAAATTTACTTGACAAGAAAATAAAAAGAATTATGATACACCTTTTTATGAAATTTATATAATTATATATAGATATATATTTGGGGCAAAAAGAGAGATTTAAAATTTTGATGAAAGCTTACATAAATAAATATTTAAATGACGAATCGATATAATCACTGAATAATCATATTCATATTTATAGTGACTATAATGAAATACAGAACAAACAAAAACAATGGATAAATGCTATAACTTAAAAACATACTCAAATAAATTATTAATCGAAAATTGAATAAAAATGAAAGGAATAAGTTATAGCATTTAACTGATGTTGATCTATATTAGTGTAAATAAGTAAAGGCGCAAGTTTGTTCGATCAAATTTTCTTTAAATTTTTCACATAAAATGTAAAAGAACATTTCTTGTTTATGAATTAAGCATTAAGTAAATGCTTTAAAAAATTTATAACAGCATTGCAAGGATTTATGCATGCATTAATAAAAAATAAAAGGCCAAAATGTCATGTTAAGATGTTTTTAGGGTCATTCAAATTCATTTTATATGACTAAGAACATCTTCGTAAAATATAACAACTTCAAACTTTAAATTTAAACTTTCCAATCTTTCTACAAAATGTTTGCTTACTTGAATTTTCATACATAATCAAAACTTTCTATTGAAGTTGTAGTATTCAACTACAAAACTTTCCTATCTTCTTTGTCTTGTGACAATCTCTTTCAAATAAATTGATCAAGTTCATCTATTGAATGACTTAAATTTTGGAGTTGTGATATTCTCAACAAGTGGCAATGTCAATTCAAGCTGAGCCATTTATACTAATGACATAAACAGCTATTAATAATCGATCATAAAATATCATAAAAAAAAATTATGATGTTGACAATAAATAAAAAGGCATGGATAATAAAGACAATAAATGCATATATTTTTAAATATGATAGCAAAATGAAATGACAATACATGTATGCTAACGATATAAACTTTGGCATGGCAAACTAAAGACAATAAATGAATTCTAATTGAATTTCTGAAAGTAAAGACGATAAAGTTTTTGTACAAATTGACGTTGAGTCAGTCAATCATATAAAATTGATTTATTCTGATTAATTTAATCTTCCAAATGTTTTCGGTCAATAATCAAAAATTATAAATTGAAAAAGTAAACCCAAGAAATTTTATTTTTTTTTTATTTTATTTTCACCATTTTATACATATCTTTTTATACAAAGTAACAATAAGTTCCATTAAAATGAATTAAAAATGTTTTTTTTTTAAAAAAAAACTTCAAATTTTGCTTTAATTTTTAATATTTAAGTCACATTAAAATTAAGAACAATTGCTAAATTCCTCAATAATTTTTGAAATGAAAATACTATGGTTTATGAAATAGTCCAAGTGTACCTGTACAAAAAGATGTGTATAAATTGCTGTTTAATGTTTTTTAAATTTTTAGAATTAAAGTCTCAATGACATGCATGGAGTATGATTGCACAATAAGCAACTCGCGAGGAACTAAAGTCAATATATGAGCTTGCTCTTGACAGCGAGCCTACTCAGAACATGTTTTTCTTCTTTAATTGTAAGAAATGATTTTTTCTTATTTATAATTTTACTTTATGAAAAATTTATAAGTTTGATTTTAATCCTGAGTAAGTTTTAGAGTCTTAATTAAATTTTTTATGTTCATAGTAAAGATTTTAAAGAAAACAGTAAACAATTCTCTGAAAAGTATCAACCAAATACTATGTATTATGAAGAAAACAAAAACTTATGGATTAAATAGTGGATTACGCAAATAATGCCTCATATTATTAAAAGATAATATTTTTCCTAGTAGACCCATTTTTTTAAAATAATAAAATTGTAAATTTAATTGTAATTTTCATGGGAAAAATTGGTTGTTTTACCAACTTATGATTATTAATTTTTTTTTTAAAAAAAAACGTTTGTGTCTCAAAAATCTTTGAGAAATTTGTAATTTCCTCTCAGCGACAAAGACTAATTTCATGAAATAATTATTATTAAATGATTTTATTCTCAATACTTGAAACCCTTTTTTTCATTTTAGAGGAAATCTTTTAAAAATTTCTTATGATAACAAGTCATATCCTACTAATAATGTTAAGACTAGGAATCATTAATGAAAAAAAAAAAAATATAAAAATGGATATTCCTAGTAAGATACATTGACTTTCATTAATAAACACATTTTCCCATGAAATTTTAACACTTAAAATTTTATCAAAAATGGTCTAGAACAGCACTGGTAACTGTAATAGTGGAATCAACATGGCAGCTAAAAATGTATTTTATTGTTACAAAGTAAAAAAAAAATAAAGTAGAATATAAAAGAAGTATAACATTTATTTTTATGATTTAATATAATATGATATATCTACATTGAGAAACCCGATAAACTTATTTTGAGCTTTTCAAAGCTCTCGTCAGACATCATAATCCACCTACATCTTAAAATTTGAGAAATTTCCTTCTCTGTCGATTCTTTTGAAGATGACGAAATTTGAAGCCATGCAAAGAAATCGTCAGACCAGTCTGGATTTTTGGGCCAATCCATTTGTTCAATTACGGCAGATTTTCTAACATTCAACTCTATTAAATTGATCCCAATTTTAGCTAAAAGAAGCAATGAAGATGTTGAGATGCTTTCTCTTATTGTTAAGCTTTTTAAATTAGGACATTGACGAGCCATTAAAATCAACAAATTATCAATTCTTTCATCAAATTCTATTTGAGATTCAAACTCGGGTATAGATTCATGTCCGTATGTTTCCAATGTATATTTATAAAGATCTATTATTTTTATAATATCCAGTGATGCTTTATTTTTTGGTGTTCGATATGTTACAGAATTAATTGGTGCAAATGACTGCAATGTGACTAATTTTTGTGAAGCAGATTCAGCCCGAAGATGTACTCTTGCTTTTGGATTATCCTTTCGAAAATTTTTCCAAGCTTTTTCGGAACAAGCTGCTGCATAATTGGGACTATAGTTATTCTGAAAGATATATAAATCTCTTATTGCTGTTGAGGCTAGGAGTTGTAAAACATCATCGTCCAAATTCTGAGGTGATATGGTTAAGACTTTTAAATTGAAGAATAATCCAACATGCATAATTGGACAATGAGTACTTGTAACATTTACCAAATATAAACTTTGTAAAGCCATCTCGCAACTTTCAAGAACCTCGTCAAGTAAATGTTTTGCTTCATATCGCTCTAGCATCAAATCAATAAGTTTCAAGTTTCTTAATTCATTCAATTCAAACATTAAGCATTTCAAAGTTTTCAATAATGATCCACCTGTTCCATATAGTTTTACATCCTGTTCATTATTTGCCATATTGCATGGAAATACATATTTAAAGCTTTTAATCCTTTTGCCGACTTCAAAATATATTGGATCACATCTAGATCGACGGCTTTGTTGAATATTAAAAGTCAAAAGAACCATGAATTGTGCGATATTATTAAAATTATATGATGGTAATATCTCGATTCCTTTAATAAACCGTCCAATTCTTGTAAGGCATGTTTGTGCGCGCATACAATCTAGAACAGGTTGCCATCCACTGTAATAATTAAACTTTTGTCGGCATAAGGTATCGTCAACTATTACAAAATTCCTCCAAACATTTTTCAAATAAAATGCACGGTACCAATCTTTGCAAACTAATGTACAGTAATACCTATAAATTAAAATATTTAACAGTATTAAATATGACAAAATTCTATAATCATTGCTACCTTTCGCTAATTGACAAATATGAAAATATTTGTTCTAATAAAAGATCAGGAAGATTAGCCCATTGAACATCCTCTTCATTTTCACGTTTGAAAACATCATCATCGATTTCGATGTAGCATGCTGTAAGAATGAAAATGTTTACATTACATGCTTGTAAGTTCAAATGATTGACGGAAAATGTATACAAATATTACTGAAGGTCACCAAAAAAAAGTAAATGCAGTTTTTATAGCATTATTTTTAAAAATATATATTTTTGGCACGCGAATGAAATGGGATGTTTGTATCTGTATCCTTAAAAATTATTAGCTACAAAAAATGTCACTTGAAAATAAAATCATCATTGTCAATGTTTATGGATTTTTCCGATTTTTCAGATGAGATATTTTTGGATGTGCGCGTAGCAATTATAAATGGATTGTATTTATTGGGATCAACAGTTCATTAGTCGCTTGTGCCTTCTCGCCTTTAGCGAACCCTTTGTATAATTTAATTTATCTTTTTTTAAGCCTTTTGACTTGCACTTTGTCATTTGTTTTTTGACTGGAGTTGAATCATCTTTATGATTCCAGTAACGGCTATTAACAAAAAAAAATAAATCACTAGAGGCAAAATTCACTGATAAAGAAAATGAAAACATGCAAGCTATTTATCGGCTCCTTTTTCTTCTGAATTATTTATTTTCGTTAAGGCACTAAATCGACAGTTACGGGTCTCTTGATTTTTTCAGATTAGATAAGATTTAACTTTCCGAAAGTATTTTATCCTTTATATCTTAACAAACCTTCATCATTTTGGTTTATCTTCCATCCAGCTTTGTATGATTGTATAATATCCATTAGAAATATGGAGAAAGGCGATTTTCTCAATGGAAATTTTATAAAACTTGTTGATTTGTATTTCTCTGATGTTGAGAACTGAGACTTTTTAAAATGAAAAACACAAAAAACAAATACGGAAATTATTAAATTGGGTCTTGTACCTTCTTTGACATATTCACAGACAATACGCATTTTCTTTATGTAATTGTGATCTTTGTATATTTTGTGTACAATCGAATCGATTATCTATGTCGCACAAATGTAATATTTGTCAGTTATGAAATCATGATCTAATTTTAGATTACATATGATAGATATGGATGTATATATTCCTACTTTGATTAAGAAAAGCGTGTGAATAATTTTTTCTTTAAAAGAAATTTTCAGAGAAAGAAAGAGAATTTTCGTGAAAACGGTGATTTTGGCGATTTTCCAAGTGAGCATATTTATACACGCGAGCAGCTTAGCCCTTTGCATTCGTATGTATCTGTTACAATAAAACTTTTTTTTTTTTCTTTAAAGTAATGAGTTTCAATGAACTAATCGAGCGAAACATTACGTTTTTAATAAATTTCATATGTATGAATGATTCTTAAAATTTAAAATCATTTTTTGGGGACAGGTGGTAAGTAGCCATTTATTCAAAACAGTATCATTTACATAATTATTAGGATTGTATGACACAATGAGCTTTATTCTTTTTCATGCATTTCCTCAGGTTCATGTCAAATTGTAATCCTTTTGCACAATTGAATAACTTGCTATCGTCGTTGTAACACAAAAAGTAAGAGCTACAATCGTCTTTGTTTGGCATAAAAGCAATATCCTTTGAATTGTTCAATGTCGGGCATGTAGCGTCCTCTGATGGCATTGCATAATTTGTTGGTGCAACACAATTTGCTATTAATGGATGTGCACAGTTTCTCAATTCTCGACTGAAATGTAAACCAAATGGACAATCTCTTTCAACTTCATGTCCATTAACACATAAAATGTATCTTTCACATGATTCAGGATGAGAAATAGCAATAACGCCTTCTTCTGGACATTTTTCGATATCATCATCAGCCCAAGGACATTCAGCTTCATCTGGAGGTAAACATCTGTTTTCTGAGATCGACCAATGCAAGCCTGCGCCACATCTTAATGGAATTTCATTTCCTGTTTAATCAAAAGATAGGAAGTCAACCAAATGTGTATGATAATTAAATAAGGAAAAAAGAATACCTTGCCAACATAAGTAATACATTGTACAATCTTCAGTGTTTGGAATAAAAACAATAACTCCAGGTGTGTCTACTTCAGGACATTTCCATTGATTTGGTTCTTCACACTCTGCATCTTCTGGACTCATGCATGTTCTTAGTGTAGGTGAAAAATGTAATCCAGGACCGCAAGATAAAGGAATTTCGAATCCATTGACACATAAGATGAATCTTTCACAATCTTCTGGATCTGGAATTTGTTCAATTCCAGTTGCAGGACATTCAATAGCACCTTCATCACAACCAGCTTCATCAGGATCCATACAACGATTTGCCTCAGTTGACCAATGTAAATCGTTTGGACATGTCATTAAAGTTCTCATGCCATTAAAGCATATGTAATATAAGTTGCAATCATCTTCGTGTGGTAAAAATGCCAAACCCGTTGAAGGACATCCTAATTCACATTCTGCAACATCTGGATCTGCGCATCGTCTTAAATGTGGTGAAAAATGTTGACCAACAGGACATTCACGATCAAATCTTGCTCCATTCACGCATAAAAAGTAAGTTTCACATGATTCAGGATTTGGGATACTATCAACACCAGTTGGAGGACACTGTCCATAACTTACACCTTTTTCGATGTACACGCTTGCTTTAAATTTTGGTGAATCTTTTTGTTTTTAAAATTAATTAAAACTAAAGCTGAAGTAGAAAAAGTCTTAGAACTTACCGATAGCAGGTGTGATTTTTTCAGCAGGCATTAAAGAAAACATACAAGCAGCTTCGCTAGGATCCATACATGAATTTTCAAAAATAGACCAGTGCAGTCCAGCAGCACAGCTCATTGGAATTGGAGTTCCTTTTGTTAATGAAAAAAATTTATACAGTATTAATGGGATGGAATATATTTTTAAAATCTTACCAGACCAACACAAATAATAACGAGAACAATCTTCTTGATTAGGTAGGAAAACCACATTTGTCGGATCATGATCTTCAGGGCATTCCCATTCGAAATCTTCACAACCAGCTGCTCGTGGATCTGTACAGGTACGAGTAATACGAGAGAAGTGCAATCCATTTGGGCATGTCAATTCAGTCATTTCATCTCCATCAACACACAATATATACATTTCACAATCTGTTGGATGTGATATTAGTTTAATGCCATCAGAAGGACATCGTTCTCTGTTATCTGGTCGTGGTGGTCTTGGGCGAGGTCTTGAAGAAGGTGGTCTCAAAATACGTTGTGGTAAACTCCATAATCCACCAGGAAAATTCATGCCAGGTGGAAATGGAAATCCTGGGAAGAAAAAGGCAGTTCCTAGTCTTTCGGCTGGTCCTTGACTTTCTCCTATTGTAACACACAATAGAAGAAGTGCCACAGAAGTATACAATTTCCACATTCTGCTTACTTCTTACTGTCTGTCATTCGCCTATAATTATAACTAAAACATTTCAGAATATTGACTTCCAAATTTATACTTTTTTGACATCATTTGTCTCTTTCTTGTGATTCATTTTGTATTTTCTTTATCAATGAAGTGAAATTTGCAACTAGATAATTGAGTAAGGGAAAAATTTGCAGAAGTCATCGATCAAATAAATTTGTTGGCAATTATAGATTGTCATTTTCTTGTTGCTAATTAAGGTGTTCTTTTTTGTACTATTTTCAGAATTTCATACCAAATGTTATCTTTTAATAGTAATACATTACATTCATTTTCTTACATACATGTAAGCTTTGACATAAAGTGCTCTATATAATTGCTCTTGTTTTGGTCTCTGCAACGTCTATTTATACTTAATAAGCCTAACATAAAAATTAATATAAAATTTTCCATTGATGAATTACTAAAAAGCATTCCTGATACTTATTTCCGATTCGTCTAGAGCACTTATCAGCATACAGTACCAGAATAGTATTTGGAAATTTCGATTCTCATTGCTTTTTAATTACGATTAGAGAACTAATCAATCAGGTACGCAAACTACAAAAATAAATTGTAAGTAGTTTTAAATGTCATTTACTAAAGCCTACATTGAGATTCAACTCTACTTTAACAAAAGAGAAGCTTCGTTTATATGGATAAGGTTATAGTCAAAACACATAAAGCTACTCAAATGACATGATCACATTACCGAACTATTGTTGCATATACAAACCTTTTGTTAAACAGTTTGAAAAAAAAATAATAATTATACCATATTTGACAGCAATTATCTAGAGATTAATTGACGGCTCTTTATTTTGCTTTGCTATTATGAATCATATATCACACATTTTTATCTTACATCAAATGGTTCATCATCATTTTTTTTAAACAATTTTAACTGGAATTAAAACACAAATAATATCAACTTTCTTGCTATTTTTGAGTTCGTACTTGACTTCAACATCTAATTTTGGATAGATTTTCAATACAGGAAATGATGCTTCATATTTATATGCTTTGCCTTTCTCTAGGGGGCATTCTAATCCAGACTCTACACAGGCATTTTGATTCGGAAGTTTGAAGGGAACAAACATACCTAAAAATAATTTTATATCGAATATAAGCTTCATACCAATTTCCTTTAAATGGGCTTAGATATATATTACCTCCTACTTTTCCATGACAAACTGCCATGACCTCATTTTCAACGTCATTATCTATGATTCACAAGATTAATCAATTAATTAATGCCAATTTAATTCAATTAAACGTACTTGAGGTGAATTCGATTGTAATAGTTGCGTTTGTGCCTCTTTTTAATACACAACGTGCCTCTTTTTCGCCACAATCTGACACAGAAATTTTTGTAAATGTTCCCGAATCTGAACCTATTCCAAAATGTTAAATTAATTGTTTTTATTGCATTTATTCCCACATAAATGAACAATTGATTGATTTACCACAATTACTATATTGAGCAGAGTAAGCAATCGATAAGACAGTGCTGATTACAAAGAAAAAAGCAAATAACTTCATTGTTTGTGATTTAGAATTTCTTTTATTCTCTTTATAATGTTTTTGAAGTTCTCTTGACAAGCGATAAGCACAGACTAATTCGTTTAAATGTCAAAAGTAGAATGTCTACTACAGTTGAATGACTGAATATGACTGATATATGAGTGATGAAAAGGAAGATTTAGCCAATACAGCGCATTTTATGCTTACATACATATAGAATTGCAAAATACACACTAATGAATTTTGATGATTTAAGATAAAAGCAGACATTAAAATGCAATAACAATTTATGACTGGCTATGATAAATTTTGGACTAAACAAACTAAAGTCTGCTTTTTTTGCATGCACAACAAGACAAAGTTGGAGCAAATAAATTCTTTTTGAAAATGTTTCGTATCAATGAGCACAATTAAAGCCGATTTCTATAAAGGACCCATACATTTTGTGATGTATGTTGTCATGCATAAAATTATTGCTGTAGGTCAAATGAAGTTTTTATTGAGTAAGTCGAATCATAAGTTTTGATGGATATTTATCAGAGTAAGGAGGAGCAATGATTGTTTCCAAGAAAACTCAAATGGAGAAATTTCATTCATTAAAGCATTAGCAATTTCCTGATATGCTCAAAAAGGAAGTAAATGACGGAGACAATCATTCTTGCAACATTTCTCCAATTTTTTTAAAAGCAGTATGAAAAATTGATTTTGATTAGTCGCTTCCTGATCCACAGACAAATTTATCTCTTGATCTCTAGACTAATTTGTATAGTAACGAACATGAATCACACACAAAAATACGCATTTCAACTAAAAAATAATCAAAAGTTGAGATGTAAATATGCTTTATTACAGTTAATTTAATATCATTTTTTTACACAAGACGAAACAGTTTTATTTGATTTAAGAATCTTTTATAATTTTTGTAATATGATACAGGAATGCATATTTAGTAAGCAAATTTCACACATACCATTAGATTAATGAAATCAGACCACTAAGTACTCAAATCCATTTAATATCTTTCTCTAATAATTCATCAGTGATGGGTGTTCGTTCATGTAATTCATAACACAAGTTTGATTTCTTTGACGAAAATGATGGAAAATATTGTCTATAGCAAAGATATGCAAGTAGTAATCCAATCAAACTTCCAACTATCACATCTTCCTTCCAGTGATGATAATCCATTGTTCTTGAGATTGCTAGATATAACAGAGAATTTGCATTTCTATAGATAATTAGAATTCTTGTACTAATTCATACCTATGAGAAGAGCTGTTTTTAATGGTAGAAAACAGCATATCAGTCGATAACTCTTTCCTCGACCTTCTTCAGAAAATATTCTCAATTTTCCCATAAGGTAAAAGCTCAGGAATCCTAATGTTGCAAATGAGAACGAACTGTGTCCAGATGGGAAGGATTTGCGTCCATCAATGACTGACCAATACTCTCCAGTGCACACTTGCTCTGAATTCATTACACCATCGGGCCAACATCGTGCAAAATAGTCTGGTCTATTAAGTTTTAAAATAAATTCATACATTAGAATGACTTTACTAAGTTAGAGTCATCATCTCAAAGTCTGACTATGAGAAGATTTTAGAACTATATGATATGATGCGCAATAGTAAGATAAGTGCCAAAATTTTCTTTTGGTAAAGTCTTTAAGGAGTGTAAAGAGTCACAAAAGCTGTGATTTTATGCATAATTTGGATATACCTTGGTCTTCCAACTAATAACTTTATAGTATCAATAATAACTCCATTCAATCCGAAACTTAGTGAATATCCTAATAAAGCTGACTTGAAGTCCTTCACATGCCTCGTTATTATAAGATTAAGTATGAATATTGAGAGAGGAATCTAAAGGAAACAATCGTCAGCATGATTAATAATTTCCAAATAAAACAACACTCAAAAATAATTCATACCAAAACAACAATCGGCCATAAAATAGTAATGGGAACATATGATTCTCGGTTCGGGTAGCTAAAAAATATTTGATTAAAATAAATTATGAAAACATATGACACGACTATTAATGTTAAAAATTAGAATTACCGATAATTCCATAGATCATTTGCAAGGATTTTTCTCTGAAATGGCTCTACAGTTTCCAACTTGAAGAATGTAACAACTAATATTATTCTAATTATCACTTCTAGGTATAAATGTATAGTTTTATTTCTCATGATTTTACAGAAAACTAATTTAAATGCCTCATTTGTAAAAGTAAAATGATATTTTGAATGCTCAAGTTATAAATGACATATAGCCAGGATGACTATAGCTGGATAAAGATGAAAATTAAGCAATTGAAAGCGCATAAAGAACTTTAATATTTAAACTAGTTAAAGCAATCAACAAATATAAGCATATATACTCAAGAGTTTAAACAATAACTGCACAAGACAAACTGACTGAAAAATAAGCACCGTCTTCAATATTCTATGGATGCAGAACTCGGTTCCTCAACAAAATAGTAAGTGCGGCTGAATAAGCAATAAACAATACGTTTTTTTTTGTTTTCTCATAAAATGTAATGCATAAAATAAGCTGTGATACCTTTAATTAATTCAAATGACAATTAGCTTTGAAAGGATACGCATTCAGTTACAATTGCGTTTAATATAATTAACATAAAAAAAGATACGTTTTTGATTTCTTAATATTCATTTTTGATTAAGAAAACTCTAGATTAAGTATAGAATTTAATGAAAAAATTTGGACATCATAAGCTTAGCATATGTTGAAATAATTTATAATAATTACTACCCAATAGTTTAAAAATGAACATGGAAGAGTGCACAGAAAAGTTTTTTGCATGGGAATCTCTGAAATCTATAATTGATAACAACATTGATTTCCTGAAATGTGATCAATCCAGCTATTTGACACTACATGACGCCTTGTTAGGGATAACAAATCAATTGAACGATGCTCGCATTCTTTATGAGGAAATTGAGTCTTTTTGTAAAAAGTACGATGTAGACGAAAATATTCAAGCTAATGGATATAGAAGCTTCTTAAAGATATTTGACTCAGCTATCAATCATGCCTTCAAAACACTCAAACATTACACAGAGAATCGATCAAAGCTATTTTTTAGGAGAAATCATTACATCAAGTAAGTCTCAATATACCTTATATTTATGTAAATAAAGTCATTTGGATTATTCGGTTCGAACTTAATTATGACTTTTGGCCAATTCAACAATATCAGATATTACGCTAATTTTACTAATTCACTTTCTTAAAACTATCATGGAAAATTGTTCGTGAAAATTCATGAGTCAAAAAGATTAATTTTTTTGCTTCGATATTGCACATGCTTTTCTATCATTAGACACGTTTTAATTCACATTTTCACAGTATATCTAAAAATAATAACTCATTGTGTCGTCAATCAAACAATAAAATCAATAGACTCAACAGTCTAGCAAATCTTATCAAAATATAATAAATAAAAGTTTCCTTTCTTTTCTTTGTTTTGCAGAGAAATTGAAGCATGTCATCAACTATTGGGAGCTTTGAAAGCTTCGTTTAAGCAGTTGATATCTTTACATTTGTCGAGTGAAGATGGGAATCTCTTTCCCACAAAAGAATTTACAATAACAGATGTTTTCAAACAAGCTTCCGAGATTAATCAGACAGCATTCTATGGACGATGCTTTGGATTTCAATTTCATGATTCTATTCGTAATATTCTGAAATTCATTTCTATAATCATGGCTAGTTACTCAGAATCATACTATAGCAATAATGGCAAGTTTGTGAAAACATCTAACTCAATATACAATAGTGGTAGATATTATTTTGATCCTGAGATGCTTGCAAGGCGATTAGTTGACTTATCACAAAATGCATCAGTTGATTTTTGCAAGGTGCTTAATTTTTTTATTAGTAATTTTTTAAATGCAACTTCCTAAACGATTTCAAATTCCTCAATTTTTTTTTGTCCGAGGAAATGCGTTTTCGAGTTGAATCCTTAATTTTCAAAAATAAACTTAATTAACCTCGTTTTTTATAGAATTTTTGGTGTTTAGCAGAATCAGAAATAATTCATTCCATACCATTTGTGAATTATAGTGTGAAAGTTAACCATCTCCTTAAAATCAATCCTAACACTTTGAAGATACCAAAAGTGAATTGTGATGGATTTATAGAGATTCAATCTCCAGGAATTATACAGGCACGGCTTATAAGCTCTTTCAAACGAGTTGGAATGCTTGGTGAAAAAGATGTGAAATCTTCAAGTGTTTTGCCAAAATCCAAAGAGATTTTGTTTCATTGTCATGGAGGTGGTTTTGTGGCTCAAAGTTCTGCATCACATTTAGTGTACTTACTTGAGTGGGCTGTTAATTTAAACATTCCAATTATATCCATTGATTATTCACTCGCTCCAGAATATCCATTTCCACGTGCAGCTAATGAAATTTTTTATGCATACTGTTGGGCTCTTCAAAATTGTGAACTATTAGGATCAACATGCGAAAGAATAGTTTTATGTGGTGATTCTGCTGGAGCCAATTTGTGCCTATCAACATTAGTCAAAAGTATTTCAATGAATATAAGAAAACCTGATGGAATTTTCATTGCTTATTGCCCTATCTTAGTTTCTTTCGATCCTAGTCCATCAAGACTATTGTGCCTACAAGATCCACTTATTCCATTTGGATTTATGATTAGATGCTTAAAAGCTTACATATTGCAAAATGGAACCAAAAGTGATAATAACAATAACAAAGACTTAAATAATGAAAATGAAAGGGATTTATTGATTTCCGACTTTGAGAATGACGAGATTAGTGGATCGTCGAATAAATCCGACTCATTTGAAGAAATTTCGTGTTTCGAATGTCATCAAACTGACTCTGACATAAAAGCTCATATTTCTCAAGTTAGCACAGCTAGTAATGATACATTACAATCCCTTCCAACTGTTACTGAAAAATATAAAGATACTCTCGAATATGACAGTCCTGTTGACAGTATTAATTCAACAATTTCGCTCGAAAAAGATCCATTTGATGGAGAGGTGAAGATGGTAACCAGCAAAACAACAATGATGATACCTTCTACGTCTGAAACACAATACGTCGATAATTTTATTGAAAAATATACAATAGAAGAAAAACTAAGGAACTGCTCGAATATCCGTAAAGTATCGAGAACAAGAAGTGAAGAAAATATAATAATTGATGTATCAAAGGAAACGTTATGTGTAAGGAATATCCATAGAAGATTTCAATTTGCTGCATCGTCATTTCGTAGATGCTTTTCTTCTACTTTTGGAGGGTTTACAAGAAATAATCACACAATAATTAATTTATTTGAAGAAGAAGAAGAAATTAAATCTAAAACATCCATTAAAGCAGTCGAAGATTTTTCATTTACCGTACCAAAGGATCCGTTGCTATCACCATTCTATGCGAGTGACGAAATACTCAAAGAATTTCCTCCAATCAAAATACTCTCATTAACATTAGATTCTTGTTTAGATGATTCCGTTATGTTTGCCAAACGCCTTAAGTCTCTAAATGTCAATTTTACTTTAGATGTACTCGACAAATTGCCTCACGGATTTCTTAACTTTTCTAGAGTAAGTAAATTCATTAAATCAGTTTAAAATGAATTAATTGTTTCATATATTTAACAGTTATCCAAAGAAGCCCATGAAGGCTGCAAGCTTTCTATGGTTCGAATTGCGGAATTGCTTGATCTCAAATTAGACTTGGCTACAAGCTTTTGTCATAATAATGAAAACACTGTGTGATTGCCTTATTTAAATTTAACTTTTTGCTTTAATACTCTAATTTATTGCATATTTTGTATAATTGTTTGCTCAAAATTTTCTGTATCTATTAAAAAAGAGGATTTATAAGGAACTAATGATTGATAATACTGTTGATACGTACGCAAACATGCTTTATGTTTAATATATATATTTATAAACGTTGTTGATATTAAATGTTGAATATATTATGGGTATAATAAATAAAGCATAAGCATATAATTATTATAATAATTTGTGTCTAAATAACTTTTAAAAAAGGATTTACAACATCTCAATGATTTTCAGTAGCTCATCAACAATTCTATGAACAATATGAATATAGTGTTTTAAATTATGATAGTAGAATTACATTGGAATTGACGACATATTGTTGAAATATAACAAAAACATATTTTACGTATTCAAATATTGTATAGACAAGAAGGTCCAAAGACGAAGAACTTTTTTAAAACTGAAACAAAAATCTTATATAAGATTCTCCCACAATTGTAGTAATTGTTATGAGATGTTGAGAATCAAGTAAAATTCAGGTAGAATTAGTATACAAAAGAATAATATTCCCATTCTCATTAATTATAAGTGTATATCTTCTTTAAGAGTAAACATCGAACAAATTTTCAAAAAAAAGGAAATTTTAAAGCAGCCACAATCAACAACTCAGGAATGGGCAACAGAAAAAGTCTTAGTCCTTAGACAAAATCAAACAGATGAACAACGTTCACAGCAGAGTGAACAACGAAAACAACGTTTGGAAAAGAGAACTGAAGAAGAGTGTAATAATAGACTTGAAGCAGATCGTTTGCGTAAAAGACAAATACAAAAAAACAATACTGAAGAAGAGTATCAGGCCAGTTTCGAAAGAAATCTTAACAGACATTCTGAACATATAAATAACGAGACAGTTAATGAACGACAAACTACATTGGAAACTAACAACCAAGGACAGAAAAGGAGAAGAGATAACGAAACCTCCGAACAGAGGCAAAGAAGAATTACAAATTGCAGCACAAGATCTTACAAATCAGCGTATTAGAGATGAGGCAATCAATTTTGCGGAGCCTACCACTTTCTGAAAGAGCGACCACAGGACGGTAAATTCAACTTCTGTTGTCACAAGAAAAATATATCTGGACACTAAGGAATATCCAACATTCCTGAGAAATTTGATGACCATTCGAGATCGGGATGGTAAAAACTTTATGGACAACATAAGAAAATACAATAGTGGTTTATCATTCACATCAATGGGAGCTAAAACTGTTGGGGTTCAAGGAAAAGCTTATCACAGAACATCCCACCTGGAACTAGGGTTTGGGGAACATGTTAACAGAAAACAGCTGTTTTTCGACAAAAATCTGTTAACAGAAAACAGGTCTCAAAAACAGGTTCAAGGAAAAGCTTATCAAAGTACATCCCACCTGGAACTAGGGTTTGGGGAACATGTTAACAGAAAACAGCTGTTTTTCGACAAAAATCTGTTAACAGAAAACAGGTCTCAAAAACAGATCTGTTTTTCATTTTTACATATAATTTACAGAAAAAAAAAATTTCTTAATTTTTTGAAGAACTTAATAAAGTTTTCTAGAATTCCAAATTGAAATGTATTTACTATTTTAAATTTTTTTGGATATTTAATAGGTTTGAAATCATTATCAAATTTATGATTAATCATTACTAATTTTGCAATCGAAATTTTAAATTTGTTGAACCTTTTGTAGCATTTACTAAAGTTCAAAAATATAATCAACAATTTTGCAAGATATTTTTTTATTTAAAAGATTTTTTTGAATATTTCAAATAAAATATTAGAGTTTATGGAACTTTTGAAGCAACAATGCAATGTTTCTTAAAAGTATAAATATTTTTTTTTGAATTTTTATATTCCATTATATTTTATAGAGTTAATTAACGAAAAATTAAGAAATAATAATGCTTAGCTCTATAATGTATGCAACTGCTTATAACCACCAAAAAGTTTCATTGTCTTAGAGAAACACTTAGGATAACTCAGTTTATTTTGAATTCTAGAAAAACGGGAAAACAGCTGTTTTTAAAAATCAAAAACCTAAAACAGACTGTTTTTCAAAAACATCTGTTTTTCACAAACCCTAGCTGGAACCAATAAATGAAAACAGACCAAAGTTTGCACAACTGTATGAAGTGGATTCTGTACAGGCAACGGAAGAGCGAATGGTGATGAGAGAAAACGAAAAGTGTTTCCCTCATTTGATGCAAATATTAGACGAAAACATCCGAGAAATTAACAAAGCAAAGTTGTTTAACAATATGAGAAGGGTTATGTTGGAACAGCGACAAATTGCAGAGAGTGAATGGAAAGAAATACCCCAAGTCAGCATGGTATTCAAAAAAGATCTACGTTCAAATCAACCTAGATACAATGCACCATCGGCAAGTGAAATAGCAATGATTTTTGTCAAGGAGGACGGAGAACCACCATTTGAGAGAGATATTCGAGTCTATCCAAAAAATCCACAAAATGAAAATCAGCAGTTCATCAACATGCACGTCACGAGCCCAAACTTGGATCCAATCACATACGTGATTTTGATTCCACATAACGAACCTGGTTGGCAACCAAGAGGTGTAAAGTTAAGTTGTTAGAAAATAAAAGTAACGCTAAAGTAAAAATTAAAATTTAAAAGGGACTATACTAGTAACTGTAGATTTGCAGTAAATAATCTCAAGATTTTGATGGATTCCTTGACGCATGCTAAAATGATTTCATGTAATATGCGTATGTAACAAAAATCTTGACTTTTCAAGGTATTTTCAATTTTGTCAGAGCCTGAACTAATAAAACATGTCTTGAATTATTTCATTAGAGTTTCCTCTGCTTCCATAAATAATTTCATCATCTCTTACGTCTCTCTTTCTTCGATTTTACGAGCTAAAGTCGTTTCCATGAAAATTATGTTCGATATATATTTTTTTTTGTAAACAAACCAATTCTCGTCAGTCATGTAATTTTTTGTTGGATATTCGCATTTAAGTTTTAGAACATTATCCGTGGGCAATTATTCAGCAAAGCACTTAATTCCATAAACTTAAATTTCAGCTGGTTCTTAATAAATAAGATATAAAACTATAACGGAAATTTTATGTTTAAACTTTATGTTTTGCCTACTAACCTACACGTGTATTTTTTAAATTTAACGGAAATTTATTTTGTGAAAACATTAATTTATAAGAAACGTTTTAAAGACTTGCCCAATTTTGTTTCTTTTCGTATCAACATTATTTCTTTTAAATAAAGCTTAAACTATTTTTATATTCATTGTTTGTTATGCACAATAACTAGATTAGTTCAAAATGGATCGTTATCCAACATGGGTATGTAAACTTAATTGATACTTTAGCCGAAATATAAAGTCAAAGTTTTTCTTTGTTTATAAATTGAAATATTTATTTTTTATTCATTTAAAAATCAAGGATTATTTGCATCTTTCGTAAAGCAAAGAGTTCCTAAAATTTCGTAAAAGTTTCAATACTGACCCATTTTATTTAAATAAATATTTACATAGATTATATATTTGTAGAATTCTAGATTGCTCAATCTTCTTTAATTTTATTTGCCTGCATAATCAAGTTTTTGTTTTCTAGAATTCTAGTTTTTTGTAATCCTCTCTTTTAATGAATTAAAAAAATTTTTGTTTCTTTCAGGTTGGCTTTATTTTCATCTTTAATTTAATAGTAGGGACAGGATCCTTACTTTTACCAAGTGCTTTCTCAAAAACGGGCTATGTACTCTCTTTAATACTAGTCCTCTTCCTGGCTTTTACATCATATCTTACAGTAACTTTTGTTATTGAAACATTAAGTATAAGTAATGCTATACAAAAATGGAAGAAAATCCAGCTGTTAAAACGTCATGAAGGGGTAAATTTTGATAACAAAAAAAAAAATCATTCTATAGATATTATAATGAGTCATAAAATTTCAGTCTATCCAATCTTCTGTATATCCAGTAAACGAAGGAAATGATGCGGATCATGACGATGATGTATCAAATGAAGATATTGATGCCATGGAAAGTACGCCTCTAACGATACAAAGTAATGATTTTTATACATTGAATGAGAAACTTGAATTTGGCGAAATGTCAAAACTACTGCTGTCTTCTACAACCTCAATGATATTTTATATATGTATAGTTATATATTTGACGGGTGACTTGTCAATTTATTCAGCTGCTGTAAGTACAACGATACGAGATGTTATCTGCGACAAACATCCGAATATGACTAATGCAAGTAATCCACTTACTCTTCCATGCTTCCTCGACGGAAATGTTACACGATTTCAAGCATACAGATGGTGTTTATTAAGTTTTGCCACGACAATGACTCCTTGGGTATTTTTTAATGTCTCTAAAACAAAGCACCTTCAGTTCTTTACTTTAACATTTCGACTTGTAGCTTTCTCGATTATGATTGCAATAGCAACACTCCGAATTTTTTATCCTGATGCAGATGAACCTATTCCAAGCCCTAAAAAGTTTCAATTCGAAAATGTTCCCTTTCTTGTGGGATCTTTGATATATGCATTTATGTCTCAACATAGTCTTCCTTCACTTTTAGTTCCAATTAAAGATAAAGACAAGATATCAAGAATAGTTTTTATAGATTATATTTTGATCACTTCCTTGTATGTTGTATTAGCAATGACTGGTATATTTGCTTTCGCAAATGTCGAGGATTTGTACACCTTAAATTTTATTCCTTCAGATGCTGATGGATCGAAATACTTTAAGATTTTGGAATATTTTCTTGCGCTCTTCCCAGTTTTTACTCTCACGACGACATTTCCTATTGTTGCTTGTACTTTAAGAAACAACTTACAAACATTATTTATTGAAAAGAGTCAATTCAATGCACAAAATTTCTTTGTTCGTCGCATGTTATTTCCAATTATGGCAGTTACACCACCGTTTATTATAACATTCAATACAGAAGATGTTAGAAGCTTAGTGTCATTTACTGGATGTTATGCTGGTACATTTATTCAATATTTGATTCCGATAACATTGGTTTATTACGGAAGAAAGGCAGCCAACAATATTTTAGGATGTGGTATTATCAATGAATATCGCTCAAAATTCCAAAGCAACTTTTGGCTAATCATGTTATTTTTCTGGACATGCCTAAGTTTAGTGATTGTATCGATTGATATGTTCAAAGCATAAAATATTTTAAGACTGATAATTGGAAGAAATCTCTTCTTTAAAATGCAGTAGAGCAATTAATTTGAAAAGATAATGGAAATATCCATTGAACTGACGACAATATTTATCGAATGATATTATCATTTCAAGATTTTATTAATGGAAACTATTACTTCTCGAAACATGCTACATAATTATTCAGAACTTATGATTTTACAAAAAAAAATTTCATGTATTATTAACTATTGAAAAAATTTAATTATATTGACTAAATGTAACAAGCAAATGGTGATTAATAAAATTTCTATTTTAATTAAATAAAAAAAAAAAAAATACGCGATAATGTCATCATTCTGTATAAAACTTGCATTTTTAACTACATTTCAATTAGGTAGTGTAATTAAAGTTAAGTTTAACTTACTAGTAGGTAAGTGATTATAATCTAATTAGATTAATCTTTAATTGAAATAGTTGAGAAACAGTCCACTTATTAATAATAACTTTGAGCAATAAATTTTAGAGAACAGAAGTAGAGAAATGCTGGGTATCACAAGAACTGTATTGTTTTTGGAGTCATAAGATACTTCGAGTAAGGCACAAGATGCATAAACATTTTTGTGTGGGAAAAGTTTAACCATTTATAGGAATATGCGGAATATGAAAAAAAAAAATTGGAATTAGCTGGTTCTTTCGAAAATTTAAGCTTCGATTAAGCTTTGGTTCAAGACATAATTAAAACTTAACTCGAATTTTTTTTGATGTTTTTTACACTAATAATTTTTATGTAAATTATGATAGATTAATGAATTGAATATTCAATCAGTTTTGGCAAGGGACTATTATTTATTCAGGACATTTCCAAAATGAGGATCAGAGGAATATCATTTAGTGCAACTTCTTCTTGGAAATATTCAACGAATATGCACTGCAAAATTAAAATTTTACCAAAATAAATTGTTGGATCAAATAGTTGTATTCCATTGTATGATTTTCCAAAATCCAGGTAAGAAAAATATTTTCGAAATTATCCTAAAATTCTTGTTTATTTTTTAATTTTTGATAATCACATTTGCCAACAACAATCGCCAACTGTAGTTTTCGAATTTTTTCAAGATATATAGCATCAAGTCTTCTTGATTCCATACCATATTATAAGATTTAATAATTTCATTTCTATTTAAAATTTCACTTCTAAGTTTAAAAGGCCAACAACGTTCTTTTAAGCTAAAATTTTCAGGAGAAATATTTTTTTTTAAATATTTGTCCCATAACGAATTTCTATTTGATTGAGATTGTGTTTCCATAATGCGCAAAAGTGTGTTGAAAAATGAATTTTTTTTAATTTTGAAATTTTATATTCATAAAATCTTTCATCTCTACATGATGTACCAAATATATGAAAAAATTAATTAAATTTACACAAGACTTAAGGTCACTTTATTGGTATCGTTTAGTTTGACATCAAAATCATTCCTGAAAATTAGATACTTAAATTTTTTCTGTATTGTTGCGTTTGATGTTCTCAGTTTTTGTGTTGTGAACTTTTTTAATTAATCGAATCTCACTTTTAATTTTACTATCGAGTCTTGATAAGTTTTTACCGTTCTTAAAGAAAACGAGTGCTCGATGTCATTTTCAAACAAAGTCTTTTCACCTTTTAAGTCATCCAGTAATAAAAATTTATGTTCATTAATTATATAAAATGAGGTGAAGTGATGATCAAAAATCAATTTTAAATCAAAACCTCTATTTAAATATAACTCCAAAAGAACATCACTAAAAGGTACTTCCACTCTTGGCCCCTGAAAATTATTTTTATTTAATGTCATTTCGTCATTAGAAAATGTTTCCAAAACTTGGATTGAAGTTTGAAATGTCTGTTACAAGTCTACATTTTTGACATACTTATAGTAACACGATTGATTGTGCAATTGCACAATTTAAAAGACGTTCTTGAAGATGGGTTTTTAAACTTCTATTCATATCAAATAATGTGATAACATTTAAAACAAAATCTAATGATGATCAAGTACATCCCTCATTTTTATTGATAGTGTTTTTACATGGAATAGGATATACAGAAGATATACAGAAATATGATCAATAAACAATGCATTTAAAACTTCAACTTATTTCAACATATTTGAACATTGCGAAAAAAAAAAATCTATCCAAAACTGATTTTGTTCTTTGCTACACCCCATTATATACAAACTTCAATCAAAAACTTGTAAAAATATTTTTGTTTTTTCATTTAATATTAACATAAATACATCATCATTTTTGAAAAATGTTACAAATCCATGGAGAACAGAATTGTAAGGGAAAAGCAAACAAAATTTTATTTTACAATTTTCATGCACCGCATCGGCATATATTTATTCAGAAAAAAAAGGAATGATATAAATTTATAAAAAAACCTACTTTTGACGGGCATTTAATAACTTTCCGTCCGACAAGGTTCAAAGGTTTTATGTGAAAAGAACGAAAATAAGCAATTAAGTGCCTTGCTGGTCGATTAGGTAAGGCACTTGGCTCAAATCGTCGAAGGTCGTCGGTTCAAATCCAGCCATTTCTAAATTTGTTCTTTTTCGGAAGTTTAGAATCTTCGACTGCTTCATGTACGAGATCAAGCCATAATTGGGCATTTGGGCATCGTTGGATTAAGGAACGGGTCAGGAACTTGAAGTGTAACGGGAGAAATAAGAACGATAGCTACAAGATTACCCACGAATGGAATATTGTTAGAACGGACATGAAAAGTATCACGTCACGCCCGCAGAAGATCGAAACGAGAGCCTTAGTTTATTTGTAACCTTGATATGAAGATTAGAAGTTTGATCCTACAAAATACTAGTTCATATGTATACAAATACAAAAGTGTAAAATGTGAATTATTACCGGACAGTATGTCGTCAATAAATGCAATAAAGTGCAATTAAAATGAAAAAAAAAAAAAATATGTCGGAACGAGGGGAAAGTACAAAAATATGACTATAAATATAAAATTAATCAAAAATGTTCAAAATGACTGAATGAATTAAAGAAAAGGAAAAACTCGGCAGATTTAGCTGACAAGAGTTGTCAAAGATGAAAGCTTAATTCCAAAAGATGCTATTAGATTGTTTTTCACAAACAAAGAAGTAATGAAATATAATTTAAGAAAAACAAATTAAGTTAAAGATACGTTATATAAAGTTGCTGCAATCGATGAACTGAAGACAAAATGTACAAAGGAAAAAATTAAAAGAGCAATGTTAAATGAATATATGGATAAGCAAATATCAGATGCGTTTTTCTTCTACTAATTTGAGATCATCTTCCCCAACCAAGAAGGGCATAAAATATATGATAATAGTAAATATTGACGTCTCTGATGGTTTATTTTATGGTGCATTTGGAACAGTGTTGCAAATGTAGATGTCTATACTAGATGAAGAATGTAGATTCTTCAATAGTTTTTGTCTAGCTAAGAAACTTTCTTCATAAAGATCGATTCTTCATGTAGAAAGAAAAAAACCATCTACATGTAGATTGTGTCTACATGTAGAATCTGTCTACATGTAGATTCGATGTAGATGTCTATAATTCTACATTTTTTCCAGGTCTACATCAGAGAAGAATGTAGAATCGTAGACAGATTCTACATGTAGACACAATCTACATGTAGATGTTTTTTTTCTTTCTACATGTAGAATCGATTTTATGAAGAAATTTCTGTCTCAGAATTTATCTGATCCAGACAAATGGCCAGAATGCAACACTGATTTGGAAAATGCGAATATATAACATTTGGAAAAGACGGAAATGTTATAATTTTTTTTTTTGTTGGTTTGTAATTCATTTTATTTGTAAGTAACCAGGTGGTTGTGTTACAAAATTATATAAATTTATAGCTACATAGTGTAATTTTTATAATATTTAATGATTTTAATCCCACGTAACCATAAGTCGACGAATGGAAGATTTTATGTATTACATCAAAATCTTCCATGTATGTTCCATATGTACATTCCATGTATCGTACATTGGACATTATGCTAATATGAAAAGGGACGATTTTTAGTCGATTTTACGTCGATTTCACGTCGATTATTTTTTTGAACCAAAATCAAATTTTTTTTGACCGTTACAATATAAAAACCGATTAACGGAAAAATTTTGAATTTTTTTTACATGAAAATATTTTTTGTTAATTATACTATTATTTGTAGACAAAATCCAAAAAAATTAATTAAGGATTTTGGCTTGGAAAAAAAGAGTCGAAGTCTTCATTTAAATGAATGATTCGCTTGTAATTAATTTAATTAATTAATCACACTTTGTATGAAAATTTGGCTGTGCCTTATATAAGTGATTTCTGATTGCACTTGTGAAGTATATAGCGGCTCAAGAAAAACGAATGTAATGGATGAAAAATCGACGTCTATTGGATCATCCAAAAAATTGTACATTTAAGTCGATTTTTTCATTGACGGCGATTTTGGTTACGTGGGATTATTAGCATCACAATACATCTCATAGAAACATTCTTTAATTCTAGTCTTGAATAAACTCAATGAAAAAGTATTCTTAACTGTCTGCTCAAGTGAGTTGTACAATAATAGTCCTCTAATGAAGAAAGTCTGACTTCCTAATTGTGTATGGGTGACTGGAATGACAAAGTTTTCTCTCTTTCTCGTTTCGATAATTGTGTCTTTAATAGGCCGTTTGAATATTAACATTATTTTTAAGCATGTTAGACGCGATTTTAAAAACTTGAATGCAAACACTAATTTGACAAAGTGTATTGACTGGAAGAATTCTTATGCTATACAATTCTGATCTGCTGCAGAACCAGTTTTTATTCATTAGAATTCTTAAGGACTTTTTTTGGGCAATTTCAAGCGAGTTTAAGTTGTACTGGACTGCTGCTGACCACACAGTATTCATATACATAAGTCGCGACTGAACATGTGCATAATAAAGAGCTATCGCTGTTTTATCGCTTAGTAATTTTCTCACTCTCTTAACTGCATATGAAAACAATATAATTTTATCTTTAATAGATTGTATGTGCTCTTTAAATGAAAGCGTTTCGTCAACTAATAAGCCTAACACATTTACTCTTTCTACACGTTCTAATGCCCTACCGTTGATAATTCTATACCTGGCCTTTGAAAATAAAAAAAATTGGAGCTAATATGAGAATGCCTTATATTGATTACATGTAAACCAGGAATATACCATTGCATTTAGTACCATTAATAAGATTAACTCATGATATCATGGCAACTCTAGATGCGTTGAAAAAATTAAATATAAAATTGTTCATGAAGCTTTTCGTACTCAATTTCCTGTTACACCGTGATGGTTTAACAATTCAAAAAGTTGGCGTTAACTGTGAAACAGTTAAATCAGTGGATAGTCTTCTCAAGGTGCGATTATGAAGGGTTGTATATTATAGGAATATTTAAAGATCCAGCAGCGCCAAACTCAGCTAAAAATGTTATTAGAGAAATAGAAAGATTAAGAATTGAGGCGTCATTAGATTTGTTTTTTTATTACTTTGAGCTAAATTGTGAAAAAAAAAAAATTTATCATAACGTTAGTTTTTATATAAATTTTTTATTTTAAACATCGATTGGCATTATTGATTGGCATTATTGATTGGCTGATGTGATTATATTTTCGGAAGCATATGTTGATGATGTTGATGAAAACTATTATAAAAGAAAAGGTTTGACAGTTTTATATCCTACTTGCAGTTAAGTGCCTTGCTGGTCGAATAGGTAAGGCGCTTGGCTCAAATTTGGTATGGTAACTCGAAGGTCGTCGGTTCGAATCCAGCCATTTCCAAATTTGTTCTTTTTCAGAAGTTTAGATACTTCGACTGCTTAATGTACGAGATCAAGCCATAATTGGGCATTTTGGGCAATGTTGGATTAAGGAACGGATCAGGAACTTGAAGTGTAGCGGGAGAAATAGGAACGAGAGCTACAAGATTACCTTATAATGGAATATTGTCAGAACGGACCTGAAATGTATCACGTCACGCCCACAGAAGATTGAAACGAGAGCCTGAATTTAATCGAAACCTAGATTTGAAGATTAGAAGCTTGATTCTACTTCACCCATAGTGATATGAAATGTATCACTAATCAATGTAAAAAGTAAAACATGTATAAATACTAATTCTTCCGGACGGTAACGTCGAAAAATAAATAATAAATAAATAAATAATACTTTAAATAATAAACAAGTAAGAGCATGATCAAGATGACTGTTATGTAAAGAACAAAACGATGTAAGATTATTATATTAGATTTATCTGAACCAATTATAATTGATGATGACAATAAGAAGTTACAATTAGATTTAAGAACATTTAAAATAAAAAAACATTACGTTATAACCAAGGCGTTGTAAAAAATAAGTTGTAAATTAAAAGAAAATTTTAAATATTTTGTTCATGGATTAGGAAAATAAACGATTTTGCGTTGCACTTGTACAGAAATTGAATTAAAATTCCTCAGCGTCCTGCCAACTCTGGGTTGCATCATAAATTCACTTTATCTTTTTAATCATGTTAAACAAATTTTTTGTCATGTTTTATTGATTTAAGAACATACGCACAAATTGCTTTGTCAGTTTGAACAATTTCTGTGAAGTTCTAGCAGATTCGTAGTCAAAAATGTTAAAAAGTACCTACTTTTGCACTAGGTTGCATCATAAATTCACTTTATCTTTGAAATCATGTTAAACAAATTTTTTGTCATGTTTTATTGATTTAAGAACATTTGCACAAATTGCTTCGTCAGTTTGAGCAATTTCTGTGCATTTCTAGCAGATTTGTAGTCGAAAATGTTAAATAGTAGCTACTTTTGCACTAGGTTGCATCATAAATTCACTTTATCTTTGAAATCATGTTAAACAAATTTTTTGTCATGTTTTATTGATTTAAGAACATACGCACAAATTGCTTTGTCAGTTTAAACAATTTCTGTGAAGTTCTGGCAGATTTGTAGTCAAAAATGTTAAAAAGTAGCTACTTTTGCACTAGGTTGCATCATATATTCACTTTATCTTTGAAATCATGTTAAACAAATTTTTTGTCATGTTTTATTGATTTAAGAACATTTGCACAAATTGCTTTGTCAGTTTGAGCAATTTCTGTGAAGTTCTGGTAGATTTGTAGTCGAAAATGTTAAATAGTAGCTACTTTTGCACTAGGTTGCATCATAAATTCACTTTATCTTTGAAATCATGTTAAACAAATTTTTTGTCATGTTTTATTGATTTAAGAACATACGCACAAATTGCTTTGTCAGTTTAAACAATTTCTGTGAAGTTCTGGCAGATTTGTAGTCAAAAATGTTAAAAAGTAGCTACTTTTGCACTAGGTTGCATCATAAATTCACTTTATCTTTGAAATCATGTTAAACAAATTTTTTGTCATGTTTTATTGATTTAAGAACATTTGCACAAATTGCTTCGTCAGTTTGAGCAATTTCTGTGAATTTCTAGCAGATTTGTAGTCGAAAATGTTAAATAGTAGCTACTTTTGCACTAGGTTGCATCATAAATTCACTTTATCTTTGAAATCATGTTAAACAAATTTTTTGTCATGTTTTATTGATTTAAGAACATACGCACAAATTGCTTTGTCAGTTTAAACAATTTCTGTGAAGTTCTGGCAGATTTGTAGTCAAAAATGTTAAAAAGTAGCTACTTTTGCACTAGGTTGCATCATAAATTCACTTTATCTTTGAAATCTATTAAACAAATTTTTTGTCATGTTTTATTGATTTAAGAACATTTGCACAAATTGCTTTGTCAGTTTGAGCAATTTCTGTGAAGTTCTGGTAGATTTGTAGTCAAAAATGTTAAAAAGTAGCTACTTTTGCACTAGGTTGCATCATTAATTTACTGTTTCTTTGAAATCATGTTAAACAAATTTTTTGTCATGTTTTATTGATTTAAGAACATACGCACAAATTGCTTTGTCAGTTTAAACAATTTCTGTGAAGTTCTGGCAGATTTGTAGTCAAAAATGTTAAAAAGTAGCTACTTTTGCACTAGGTTGCATCATTAATTTACTGTTTCTTTGAAATCATGTTAAACAAATTTTTTGTCATGTTTTATTGATTTAAGAACATTTGCACAAATTGCTTTGTCAGTTTGAGCAATTTCTGTGAATTTCTAGCAGATTTGTAGACGAAAATGTTAAATAGTAGCTCCTTTTGCACTAGGTTGCATCATAAATTCACTTTATCTTTGAAATCATGTTAAACAAATTTTTTGTCATGTTTTATTGATTTAAGAACATACGCACAAATTGCTTTGTCAATTTGAACAATTTCTGTGTAGTTCTAGCAGATTTGTAGTCGAAAATATTAAATAGTAGCTACTTTTGCACTAGGTTGCATCATAAATTCACTTTATCTTTGAAATCATGTTAAACAAATTTTTTGTCATGTTTTATTGATTTAAGAACATACGCACAAATTGCTTTGTCAGTTTGAACAATTTCTGTGAAGTTCTGGCAGATTTGTAGTCAAAAATGTTAAAAAGTAGCTACTTTTGCACTAGGTTGCATCATTAATTTACTGTTTCTTTGAAATAATGTTAAACAAATTTTTTGTCATGTTTTATTGATTTAAGAACATTTGCACAAATTGCTTTGTCAGTTTGAGCAATTTCTGTGAATTTCTAGCAGATTTGTAGTCGAAAATGTTAAATAGTAGCTACTTTTGCACTAGGTTGCATCATAAATTCACTTTATCTTTGAAATCATGTTAAACAAATTTTTTGTCATGTTTTATTGATTTAAGAACATACGCACAAATTGCTTTGTCAGTTTAAACAATTTCTGTGAAGTTCTGGCAGATTTGTAGTCAAAAATGTTAAAAAGTAGCTACTTTTGCACTAGGTTGCATCATAAATTCACTTTATCTTTGAAATCATGTTAAACAAATTTTTTGTCATGTTTTATTGATTTAAGAACATTTGCACAAATTGTTTTGTCAGTTTGAGCAATTTCTGTGAAGTTCTGGCAGATTTGTAGTCAAAAATGTTAAAAAGTAGCTACTTTTGCACTAGGTTGCATCATTAATTTACTGTTTCTTTGAAATCATGTTAAACAAATTTTTTGTCATGTTTTATTGATTTAAGAACATTTGCACAAATTGTTTTGTCAGTTTGAGCAATTTCTGTGAAGTTCTGGCAGATTTGTAGTCAAAAATGTTAAAAAGTAGCTACTTTTGCACTAGATTGCATCATAAATTCACTTTATCTTTGAAATCATGTTAAACAAATTTTTTGTCATGTTTTATTGATTTAAGAACATTTGCACAAATTGCTTTGTCAGTTTGAACAATTTCTGTGAATTTCTAGCAGATTTGTAGTCGAAAATGTTAAATAGTAGCTACTTTTGCACTAGGTTGCATCATAAATTCACTTTATCTTTGAAATCATGTTAAACAAATTTTTTGTCATGTTTTATTGATTTAAGAACATTTGCACAGATTGTTTTGTCAGTTTGAGCAATTTCTGTGAATTTCTAGCAGATTTGTAGACGAAAATGTTAAATAGTAGCTACTTTTGCACTAGGTTGCATCATAAATTCACTTTATCTTTGAAATCATGTTAAACAAATTTTTTGTCATGTTTTATTGATTTAAGATCATTTGCACAAATTACTTTGTCAGTTTGAGCAATTTCTGTGAAGTTTTGGCAGATTTGTAGTCGAAAATGATAAAAAGTAGCTACTTTTGCACTTAATTGCATCATTCATTTACTATTTCTTTGAAATAATGTAAAACAAATTTTTTGTCATGTTATATTGATTTAAGAACATTCGCACAAATTGCTTTGTCAGTTTAAGCAATTTCTGTGAAGATCTAGCAGATTTGTAGTCGAAAATGTTAAAAAGTAGCTACTTTTGCACTTAATTGCATCATTAATTTACTATTTCTTTGAAATAATGTTAAACAATTTTTTTGTCATGTTTTATTGATTTAAGATCATTTGCACAAATTGCTTTGTCAGTTTGAGCAATTTCTGTGAAGTTGTAGCAGATTTGTAGTCGAAAATGTTAAAAAGTAGCTACTTTTGCACTAGGTGGCACCATAAATTCACTGCATCATGCAATAATGCTATATAAAATTTTTTGTCATATTTTATTGATTTAAGATCATTTGCATAAATTGTTTTGTCAGTTTGAGCAATTTCTGTGAAGTTCTGGCAGATTTGTGGTCGAAAATGTTAAATAGTAGCTACTTTTGCACTAGGTTGC